GAAGCGCCTTTTGTTGTGATTTGGCGCTATATAAATAAAATTGAATTCAGTCATTCACACACTGGCAATGGCAAGCTACGTTGTAGCCACAGCTGCTGATTAGCCAGTAACGGCTAATCAGCAGCAAACATGTGCAACAGTGAGTGATAAATTAACAGGATAACAACTGTGTCTAAAGGTGCTGTGTTTCTCCTAGATTGGATACGATAAGTCTTCCAGCAATTACACATGGTGGCGATTACCTTAAACATTTTATCAGCAACAAAAATGCAATGCACCAAAAGAAAAGCACTACACAGGAGATTTGTCAGCACTAAGAGAACCTTAGGTTTTTTTTTTTAATTTATGCAAGACAACTTGTTTTTAAGTCACCAATCTTATGAAATTGAGGTCTGGGTCCAAACTCCAACAGGTAAAACTAGCATGTCACAGATCCACAACTATGCACAGTTGTGAGCCTGGTTTGGGAGAGGATGATTACTGAACAGTTCTTAAAACACCAACTAGAATTTTCTCTTTTTTAATGTCTTCCCTAAATAATAACCCGTTCACCAGCACTGATAAATCCATAAAATATTTTTTTTTTGCCTTATTCTGATCATGATCACAGCCACGGTCTGTACACCAGGACACTTCAAAAATAACCTACCTGTACTGAAAACACCCTTTTTCACTCCGAAGGGCTGCACATGCAGGCTGAAGGTGTAGAGGGAGAGTGTGTCGGTGATGTTGAAAGTCTGCTCCTTGTTACACATGTAGGAGCTGCCGATGGATGCCTCCCACAGATTGAGGCTGGAGTTCTCCACAGAAAAATTACCTTCAAGGAAGAAAGACAGCACATAGTTTGCCTTCTTCTCAGTGCATTGCCTGGTGTATGTGATTATACGAGAATCTTAGTTACCAGAGCTCGTGATGACAGTGACGCTCAGATCATGCAGGCGGAATTTCTTTGTGTCCTGTAAACGTTTAGAAACAGAAAATGGGAAAGGTTACATAACCACCCTTTACTTTTTTGTTTTCCTCGAAGTGGAGTTGTCACGTTAAGGACAGTAAAATGGCTAAGTATATGTGCAGTGTGACCCTTAGTAAGTCTGACAACATTGATCTACCACATGGATAAGTGATTTTATCTCTGAGGACTTACATTGGTAAAGGTAAACTTGATAGTCATTTCTTTAGATGCCAAAAGAAGCTCACTGCTGTTGACACCACATGATCCACTGACAGTGGCCATATTGGGATTCAAATTCATTTCCTGTAAATTTTAAGCCAGACAGAACAGAAGCAAACTCAATAAATGATAAATTATCTGTGAAGGGGGGTTACAATTGTGAGTTTATGAAACCTACCTCGCCCTTAAAACCAATGCGCAGGCCAAAGTTGGCCAGCAGACAGACTGTGCCATTTTCAGTCTTGATGCTGTAGTTCCCAGTACTGGGTACAGGGAGAGTGGGTACCGGGGTGGTAGTAGGGACAGCCGTAGTTGTGTTGGGGGCAAGTGTGGTTGTATTAGGGGCAAGTGTGGTTGTATTAGGGGCAAGTGTGGTTGTATTAGG